GTCCCCCTCATCCCCCGGAACATTTTGGAAGTTCTGTCGGAGGTGGAAATTGAAGCTCCTTCTAACAGGAAACTCTGCCAGACGTTCCCAGCAGACCCTCGCGATACATTTGGGCCTGCCTGGTCTGACTGGCATCTTCCCCCACTATCCGAGCCAACTCACCACCAGGTAGTGGTCAGTTGACAGATCCGCCCCTCTCGTCTCCCGAGTGTCCAAGACATGCGGCCGCAGCTCAGATGAAACAACAATAAAGTCGATCATCGAGCTGCGGTCTAAGGTATCCTGGTGCCATGAGCACATATAAACACCTTTATGTCTGAACATGGTGTTCATTATAGACAATCCATGACTGGCACAGAAGTCCAATAACAAAACACCACCCAAATTCAGATCAGAGGGGCCGTTCCTCCCAACCACACCTCTCCAGGTTTCACTGTCATTGCCCACGTGAGCGTTAAAGTCCCTCAGCAGAACGAGGGAGTCACCAGAAGGGGCACTTTCCAGCACCCCCTCCAAGGTCACAAAAAAGGGTGGGTAGTCTGAACTGTAGTTTGGTGCATAAGCACAGACCACAGTCAGAACCCGTACCCCCACAAGTAGGTGGAGGGAGGTTACCCTCTCATTCACTGGGGTAAACCCCAACGTACAGGCACCAAGATGGGGGCAACTAGTATGCCCACCCCTGCTCGGTGCCTCTCAGTGGGAGCAACTCCATAGTGGTAGAGAATCCAACCCCTGTCAATGAAACTGGTTCCAGAGCCAGAGCCATGCGTTGAGGTGAGTCCGACTATATCTAGTGGGAACCTCTCAACCTAACACACCAACTCAGGCTCCTTCCCCTCCAGAGAGGTGACATTCCATGTGCCAAGAGCCAGCTTCTGTAGCCGAGGATCAGACCGCCAATGTCCCCGCCCTCGACTACCACCTGTCACACACTGCACCTGACCCCTTTGGCCCCTCCCATGAGTGGTGAGCCCATGGGAAGGGGGACCCACGTTTCCTCTTCGGGCGGTGCCCGGCCGGGTTCCATGGGTGAAAGCCCGGCCACCAGGTGCTTGCCAACGTGCCCCACCACCAGGCCTGGCTCCAGAGGGGGGCCCCAGTGACCCACGTCTGGGTGAGGGAACACGGTTTCCATTTATATAAATCATCATAAGAGGTCTTCGGGCTGCTCTTTGTCTGATCCCTCACCTGGGCCCTGTTGGGCATGGGTGACCCTACCAGAGGCAGAAAGCCTCAGACAACTTAGCTCCTAGGATCATTGGGATACTCAAACCCCTCCACCACGGTAAGGTGGCAGCCCAGGGAGAGGATTTACCAGACTTGGAGCCTCTACAAGATAATGCATTTTAGCCTATAATTCTATATATTCTGTGGACACTGTGCAACTTTTTCATTTGTAGCACTCAGTTTCAGCTCACGCTGTGTCTGGTAGCAACACGTTGGACCTAAAAATGTGCTAAAAATAGCAGTTTTTACACAACACGTCAGACTTTTTATTGTTATTGATGTCTGTTGTCCCTCGGGATTGCTGCAGGAGGACACAGGTATTTATGAGAGTGGCGGAGGAAAACGAAAGAAAGGAAATAAATGTTGTGTGATCAGTATAATTTGACATAACCATGGCAAACATGCATTCTCGATACTCCTTGTTATTGTGTGAGGAAAAAAAGTGTAGAAATTAAAACGGATGTGTGTTAATAGGGAAACAGCTGGCGAGCCATGTTTGTGCATGCGCCGTGAGCGGTTCTGGTGCTGTTAGATTCTCACGCGAGGGAAAAATCGGCTCAGGTTGTATACTTACTTTTTGCGCAGGCATTTGTTTATTGTGAAGTAAAGTTGAAGTGCCGAAGATTTGAAAACTAATTTTGAATAAAACTTGAAGAATAACTGGCAATTGCTTGCTCATTTTAAGAGGTCTTTCATATTTCATGACATGCTATAATGGTTTACAAACACAAAGGGGTAATTTATTAGAGTACACGATTACAAAAAGATTCGATAGCTGCAGCCCTAGTTGTAATCAAGCCCCCACAATCAGGGACAGAAATTGAGGCCAATGCGGAAGTGAAGTAAATAGTTCCACCCTCATCCACTAGGGGCTGGTGTCAGAAGTGAGCAAATTCTCATTGACTCCCATGTTAAAAATACCAATTTCACAGCAGAAAAAACATGTTTACAGCCTGGTACCAAAACATGTTTTTGGTTTAAATGATCTAGTTTACACTCATGACAACTCTGAGGGGGTGAATTTTTTTCTCACTCCTCTGTTTAAGTGTATTAAAAGCCTAAAATTCTGTATAATTAATGAGCATCAGACCCACGTGACCGCAGAGCTAGCTCCGTGGAAAGGCCTCAGTCTGAGCCTCGGCCTCGTCTGAAAACTGTTCCGTCATTTTCAGTCTCTCAACTTAGACCATTAGTTGTGCCATTCGTGCGTTCTTTTTTGGATATTATTTGTGCAATTGTTGGACAAAATGACTTGCTGTGGCATTAATTGCACTAATAGAGCGTCCAAGGAGTCTCCACTTTATTTTTTTTGGTAAGTAAAATTATATTTATATATTTCAGGTCACTGCCGAGCTGAGCTTAGATTTTAACATGTACTGTTTAACCATGAAATTTAAATGTAATAGGGTAAAACCCAGTGCATTTAACATGATGCTGCTCTTTAGAAAATGGGTTGAAATATAACATGTTGGTGGAGCTGGGTTCCCACTATCGGCTTAAGGAGCTCTCGGGAGACCGATGTTTTCCACCCGTTTCTCCCCTCCCCACAGCTCGGCGCATCTCTGTCTGATCGCCGCGGCTCCTGTCTGCTGCCCGGGCTGCTGGCTTGTGGAGCTCTCGGATGGAAACCGATGTTTTCTACCCGTTTCTCCTCAGCGGCAGCTGTGCGCATCTCAGATCGCAGCGGCGCTTGTCTGATGTGCAGCTGCTGGCTTGTGGAGCTCTTGGGAAACCTCTGTGTTCCACCCGGTTTTACCCAGCGGTCAGCCCGGCGTATCTCTGACTCAGAAGCTCTGGTGTTGTGCACAGTTAACTCCGGTTGTAGCTAGGTTGCTACCTCCGTTAGCTTAGCTCCCACCTCCGCGTTAGTTTTGGGTTAGCTTCAGGTTAGCTTGTAGCTAGTTCGACCGGGTGTCGTCAGATGATCCCAGCCTTACAGCCTCACCCTCAGCTCCACCCCTCTTCCCTTTTGTGGAGTTGTCTGGGCTGGACGGATCCTGTGACACAGTCAAAATGGCGGTGGTGGCCACCTCCCATTTCTCCTAAAAAATGTGTTATTGGAGCCTATGGAAATAAATTGTCCAGTATATATGTCGATGGTTGTAATACATGTTATGCTTGATTTCTACTATTTCAGATTTTTGTTCATGTACATTTACATTTTCTATTCAGAAATTTCTGAAGAAAAATCAAATGCTTTTTTTATTACAGTTGTAACACACTGTTTTGGTTTAAATTTCCAATTCTAAACCACACACCAGCTTTAAATGTTAATACAGTAATCCCTCGTTTATCGCGGTAGATGCGTTCCAGACCTGGCCGCGATAGGTGAAGATCCGCGAAGTAGGGACTCCCAGCATGCCCCTCGCGGGGATTCCCTCCACGTTGCACCTACGTCACAAACCGCGGCTATAAACGGAAGTCGCCTTTCCAGCTCACCACTCAGTCATCGTTTCTTCAGATTCATGATCAGAGTTTCCAACCTACCGATCAATCCAACGAACTATCAGCTCATAGTAAGTTATCTTACTTACTTCTGGAAAGCCCGGCATTTCCGTGTCACTTCGTTGACGCTCGAACGCTCGGGGGATTCCTAGATCAGCCGGCGTTTCACCGACGCTATCACTTCAGCGTCTGTGAAACCACGCTCCCTATTGAATTATCGTATGATCACATTCTCTTTTTTGTGGGTAAAACTTAAGAAAAAAAATTTTTTTACTTGTTTTTTTTAGTTTTATTACAAAAAGTGCATTTTATGATGAAATTGATGAAAAAAACAAGAATTTCTTGATATTTCGCATAGAAAAATACCGCGAATCAGTGAAAAATACCGCAAATCTGCGAATTCCCCCTGAAAAATGCTCCAAAGAAAAAATCCGCGAAGCAGCGAATCCGCGATGAACGAACCGCGAAGTAGCGAGGGATTACTGTAGCCCAATAAAAGCAGGGTTATACTTAAAATAATTAAATCTAAGACCATCAGAAAAATTGTGATCTTGACCACTGTCTTGATACAGGAATCTTTAATCAGTTATCGTACTCATTCATATGCACTTAGCCCCTTTATTATGGTATGTGTGATGTGAACACCCCTCCCAGGGTAGTGTCTGCATTCTGATTGCTTTCTAGTTTTTATTAGTTATATTTCTTGAGTGAGTGTTTAATTTTAACACTGTACCATGTTTTGCTTGCAATTTGTGACAATGCATCGTGTGTTTGTAGATCATCAATTGCAGTTTGTCAAAATAAGGGGGGCCCAGAACCTTATCTTGCATAGGGCCCCCACAATGCTAGAAATGGCCCTGGACAAATTTTCTGTAAAAATTCCAACACCAATCTTATAAATTGGACCTAATAACATGTTGACGACATAGCACTGCATATAAATAAATGAAAACTCACTTTGGGGCTTAATTAAGGCTGATTTGGCCTTTCTTCTGCTTTCTCAGTGGGATTTTAAGCCTGTAACGGACTTGGGAGTGTCTTTATGAGACCTTTCCTGTTCAGACACTTTTGTTTATATCAGTTACATGGATACTAGCTTTAAATAAAACACAAATTTCACTACTCTTTCTCCTCCTTTATTTATAAATGATTAACCAACAACATTGAAAAGTTGCTTAAGAGACATCTCAACGCTTCACTTATGTCACAGGTTTTTGTTGAGAAACAACAGCATATTCACTGTTTTCCCTTTGAGTCTGCTCCTTTTTTTGCTCAAAACCTATCCCGCCTTTGAAAAGATTCTCTCGGCAGGTACTGAAGAAGCAACAACTCCCAGGCATCTTACTGCAAGTTTACTCAGAGCTGGAAAGGTTTGTTCATGCTCCTGCCACCAAAGTAGTGGATCCTTATCTCGAGGAATTAATTTTTCCTCTGAGTATCAACGTGCTTCAATTAATATATCAGTGGAAGCAGAGCGATGGTGTTGGTTAGACATAACCTGCTTGTCAAAATCTGTCCATATCCCTCGTTTTGTTGCAGTTGAACCTGATGCTGTAGGGCTCTGGTTATACCCTGAGGTAGAAGGTACTGAAGCAGAAGGTTCTTCTGAGGTAGAACAAGCAGTGGAGACTGAACCTGGAGTTGGAGGGACAGCTGACTGTCCTGCCTGATAGACTTCCTGCATTTCAGCACAAAGACGTATTTTCATAACCTCAACACTGTCTTTGTCTCGAAAACCAAAATGTTTAAACCTAACATCCACAAATGTGCTGGCAGCTAGACAGTGAATGGTTTCAACACCCCTGAATCTGCGCTGGCATTGCTGTGCCAGCTGTGTGGCAAGTGAGTTGCTCTGACGTTCACAAGCTGATACAGCTCTGCGAATGAGTGACACAAGTGGAATCACCTTGGATACTGAAATATGTTTTTCAGATGAAACTTCCCGTGTTACTTCTTCAAATGGCTGTAGTGCATCAACTATCTGCTTGATGAGGGACAATTCTCCCTGATTCAAGCACAATGTGTTCTTCCCTAAAAGGCAGAGGGCAGTGGTCACGGCTTCATTTTGCTCACCAAGCCTTTCCAGCATGGAACAGACAGAGTTCCAGCAGGTTTCTACTGACTGAATTAGCTTGTGTTCTGCCACTTTCAACTGTTGTTGAATATCTCTGAGCTTCTCTGTGGCCTTACTGCTGTGGTGAAAATATGACACAATTGCACTGCATTTTTCCAGGACCTGCACAACTTCAGGGACAGCTTTTAGACTGGCTTTTACAATTAGATTCAGTGTATGTGCAAAACAAGGATGATGCCTCCATCCAGCCTTGTGTACTGCAGCAACCATATTTGCACCGTTGTCTGTAACAACTGCCACCACCTTCTCAGTAATGCCCCATTCTTCTGTGATTCGCTTAAGCTCTAAGCTGATATTGTCTGCTGTGTGTGTGTTCCATGGAAAGTATGGGTTTCCAACACAAATTCCCTCATTTGCCAATTTTCAATGAGATGGCATGTTACGGTCAAATATGCCTCTGTGGACACTGATGTCCACATATCAGAGGTTAGTACAACACTAGAAGCATTTTTCAAAGATGCTCTTACTTTTTCTTTACATTCTGTGAACATATTTACAAGAACAGTCTCAGTTAGTTTCTTCCTTCCTGGAAGTTTGTATTTTGGGTCAAGAGCTCTCACAAATTGTTGGAAACCTTGATCCTCCACTATGGACATAGGCTGGAGGTCCTTCACAATCATCTCTCCTAGGTATCTTGTGAGTGTTGCTGCTCTTGGAGAATCGTCTACAAATATAAAATACAAAGGGCACATAAAATGAAGGTATAGCACATGATTAAATACAGCAACTTACACTGAGGAGAAAGGAAAATTGGAGTTTACATACACCTGCTGTTTTATATAAAATGCTTTGGCTCAAATTAAAATTGCCAATAAAATGCACAATAAATACATTTATTTATGCCTACATATGAAATATTCAGTTCATTATTAAGTCAAATACGCTGACTAATTGAGAATTAAACAATGCAACTTTAACTGAAAAATGTTATTAACTTTGTTTCTGTCTATGGAATGTTTTCTTGACCTTGTGTAAATTTTAATAACACTTGGTGTATGTAATCCGCTTTAAATCAATCTACTCTACATGAAATATCACCTGACAAAAATAGGGTAATTAAACTTATGCTGCTACTTAATATTTATTAATTGCAGTCCATACAGTTTAAATTTAAATTCAACAGCAGAAAACCTAAGCCTACAACATTCCAGTCCTAAACAGCTCCATATTCTCTCCATTTGTACCTGGATAGTTCTTGCCTGATGACCAAAGGACTCCACGAGTGATGCCTGTTTCACGCTAGCTGCAGCAGCAGCACCTGGCTCGCTCCTCTCGTCTTCTGTCCTCCTCACCATGAAGTCGTCATATTCTTTCGTATGGTTTATTTTTAAATGTTTAACTAGGTTAGTTGTGTTACCACAATGCCTCACAGTCTTCCTACAAATGTCACAAGCTGCATCGTTTTTATTAGAAGAACTAGAATAGCTCCAAACATGACTCCGTTTGCGTTCATGCGACTAGTACTGCGCACGCCACGCACTTCCAAACCGTGAGCTTCCAGCAGCAGGCAGCATAAACAGGGAGCCCAGTGTGCGCCCCCCAGTGGTGGGTTAAGGCATTTATATTGTGCCGCACCACGGTTGGCGGAAGAAGAAGTAGTTCTGGTCAAAAAAACGTAATTTTTGAAGAATGACCAGCCAATTAATAACTTTAAATCACTCAGATATCGATACTTTAATGACAGAATCGATTTCAAAACATAAATAGCCAGAATCGGAGTATCGATACTTTAGTATCGAGCTGCACATCCCTACCTCACATACTTACCTTGAACAAACATTTTGTGGTTTCCCTGCTCTTTCAAAACATGTTGGTGAAGGCAGCTCAAACAAATTGTAGAGATATTCAGTCCTGGTCTGACATCCAAGATCACCTCAATGATATCTTCTCTATTTGGAGCCAGAGAAAGATTTCAAGATTTGGAAAAGCTCATATTTAACATCACGGTTGGTACATTTTAAATAAATTCCAGGGACATGTTGTTCAACAGGAGGAAGTCATCGGCAGTAGAGATGGACAATATATCTGCATCAGTATCAGTATCGGCCGATGTTAGTCATTTGTTAGCATATCGGTATCGGTTCTATAAATAATACTGGGACGATATTAACAGCCACCATTTTTTCCATCCTGTTTCCATTTGTTTGCGTGTTTCAGAGGGTGAGGTGGGTGCTGTGTAATTGTTTAGTCATGAGAACAGTGAATGAAATCATCTCAGAACTGTAAATGTGTGTGGTTTGTGTACATAATAACGTAAATTCAGCTTTAATAATTTTCATTCTATACAAAATCTGCTGATTTTAGAAGCTTTAATGTCAGTATATTGGTATCGGCAAATATCAGTTATCGGCCATAACAGTGATCTTAATATCGGATATCGGTATCGGTATGAGAAGAAACTCAATGAGTATTTCATCAAGAACACAGGGTCAGTTCAAGAAATCATAAGGGTTCTCCAAATCTGTCTTATTTAAGCTGTTAGTGTGGCTTGCTTGGTAGGTTTTTCCAAAATATAATTGTACTTCAAACCCAATGGCCCCTGCTGGTGCACACCATTCTGTGTCAACTCTTGGGCTCAGCAATTTCAACAAGTAGAAAAGTTATTTCATACCAACATTCTAAATACTCCTGGGTCTATCACTATGCAGTCAAGATTGAAGCAACTCACTTGAGAGACTATGTTTCCTCTTTGGTCTGACAACACTTTTAGTTCCTCCAGGCAACTGTGAACAGTGTCTTTGGAGAGCAACGTGTGGGTGTCCCACTTGGACCTGGTACCTCTATGACCCAACCATAGAGACGCTGAAGAAAATATGTATGTAATATATGTAATTTGTATATATATTTTTTAAACGTTAAAAAACATATTACTGTATTTTCCGGACTATAAGCCGCTACTTTTTCCCATGCTTTGAACCATGCGGCTTATAGTGAGGTGCGGCTTTAGTCAACCAGAAAGGATGGATGCTGGAAAGTTCAATGAAGGAATGGTTAAAGGAGCGCTACGGAAAGCGCCCAGGAGGATTTTTTTCACAGTAAAACGGAGCTGCTTGTTTTCCCAGCTTCACCCCGGGATGATGACAGCAACACGGAGAGCGACACTGACATCGCCACAGAAAAGGTGTGTGACGAAGCTCTTCTGAGGCTGTTCTACTCCGACTAGGGTTGTCACGGTATGAAAATTTAACCTCACGGTTATTGTGACCAAAATTATCACGGTTTTCGGTATTATCGCGGTATTTTTTAAACGGTGTTGCATATGTTCAGAAAGCATTGATAGTCCTGTTCTACACAAACTGAAATAGTTCTGAAAAGGTTTAACAGTGTTTATTAAACCTAAAATAACACAAAGCCTTAGCAAAAGTGCAACTTTTCACAAGTAAAGGAACAAATAGCTTATTTTTCTGGAACATGTTACAGTAGTCAGTGCAGGTTTAAATTATACAAATCCAAACATTCAAAACATAAACAACAATATGTAAACAAATCAAAGAAACACCACTTGTTTTCTCATATACTTGTTTTCTTCATTATCAAAATGAAAATCTAAAACTCCAGTCCACACTTGACTTGAGCGTTGTACAAGTCAACCTTAAAAAATATGTATTTAAAATGAATAGCCACTTTAAACAAATTACTAAAATAACTACTACACTATGTAATCAAATCCAAATGTTCAAGTATAAATGGCATTGAATAAGTAAACAAATCCATGACAAGGAACTAATTGTATATTTCTCTTCATCATCAACAAATAAGATGCTTCATCCAGCAACAGGGTGTCCGTGACACGGTTTAAATGCTGGCAGAGGACGCTGCGGCTGCAGTCTATAGTGACTCGTTGCATTCTCCCTCAACTGGACGGTTATTTTTATTGTCAACTTTTTTACCAGGGTTTACCGCTATACCGGTTACCGTGACAACCTGAAGAAGATGACTTCAGTGATTTCAGTGCACAGGAGGACGATGAATAAACTAATCAATAACTTTTCTGTTTTGTTTGATACTGATCAGTTCAGTTACATTCAGTTAAACTACTTTTTCTATTCAGTAGATATCTGTAGCCCGGTGCGGCTTACATTGAGGTGCGCTCTATAGTCCGGAAATTACGGTAGGTGGATGAAACGTCAACAAAAAGCCGTGATATGCTTGAAAAGCAGCAAGATTTGTGATAAATAAACAATATTGCAAGACATCTTCCTGAGTCAAGTGGACGTGAATGGAGTTTGTCGGCTTTATGCCAACCAATGTTTGGTGGTACAAACTTCAGTATTTATTTATAAAGCATTGACCATGTTGGTTTTTGTTTGCAGGTTATAGTCTCTTTTTTCTAATCACACTCGCAATTAAAGTGTTCTTTTAGAAATTTTACATGAGCATCAGTCATCTGTCAATACTGTTCACTCTCTCTCCCTACAGCTCAATAATCACACACATACCTGCACACACAGTCAAACACACATATACTAATATGCACAGCATCACCCCGTCTACAAGCACAGTTGTAGACTTTTAAAATGCCTGTTTTGGAGAAATAGTGAAGCGTGCAGCATTTTTCAAATAAAAATGAAATGCCCCAGACAAAAAGGGATGGAAACATCCTTTTATTAGTAAATAGCTATTTTACATGTTTTTAAAAATGTGAATATTAGCAGCATGTTTTATATATTAGTACTAGAGTTTGGGGTGTTTTTGTGTTCTGCAGGATTTTGTCTGTCAGCAGAGGTGCTGCTGATGTAAAAGTAAAACTAAAATTCACTTGGGAAGGCAAAATGAGAGCTGGATGTACCATATTGGTCTGTAGAAGACTTTTTACTGTGCAAACACACATAGTGGCTGTAACTGAGCAGAAGATGCAACCACATATACTGGTTTATGCTTCCCAATGCTGTTACACAAAGATTAATTAAACGTAAGAACTTGAATAATCACTGAACGCCTCATAAAGGTTTTATTGTATGGATTTGTGTGTGTTTGACAACCAAAGGCAGCAGCCTTGGGTGTCTGGTTTTCAGGTATATGAGACACTTGTTCGCAAACACTGAAATGTCTGAGATCAGAGGGAAAGTACACGTCTGGCTTGTGCATTAGGCTGGTATTTGTCTGAAAGCCACAAGCAAATAAGTTATTTTGGGTGAATTGCTAATGATTAGAAGACCAAGAAAAATACAAAATATTACATAAAGGTGTCGCTTTTTGATGCATCACAAACGTCTCCTTTTCAAACATGTTTAAAGTGTTGAGAATACAAATCCAGGCTCTGTCTCATTGGACTGTTGTAATTAAACTTAGTACAGAACGACACTTTAAATTAAACAATGTTAAATAGGTAAGGAAATGATCCAATCAATGTGTTTTCCCCCTCATTTACAGTGGTGGGGATAACGGCCCAGTGCGCATGGCTCTGGTGTTACTCAAGATTAATTTTTTCTCTTTGCAACAATCTTCACAAGAAGGCAAAACAGTTAAATGGCAGGGTTTGCACTGACTGGCTATTTCCCGTACTTAACCATTCATTTGGACCGAGAAAGAAAAGAGAGAATTACCCCAATGCATGCAGATGCACTGACATTTTAGTCATCACGCACATCGCGGAGGTAGCTAAATCAATCAAGAAAAGGTTCCCATCAGAACATCTGAGCTGGACACTGTGGTCAGCGCACGTGAGGTGGAGAGCTATCTGAAGATATGGAGAGGGCCTTGGAGCACATCGCAGAACCAGAGCGCATGCGGGAAGAGTCCTCTCTCAGAGAGACTTGTCACTTAGGAACTGTTCCCTGATTATGAAGCTTCAGCTGAACAGTGCTTGTTTCTGTCTCCAATGTGGTGAAGCTGCGATCAGTGGCGGAGCTTGATATGTGCAACATGTGCGGCCGAACAGGGCGGCAGTCTGCAGGGGGCGGCATTTAATTTCCTTTTTTTTTTTTTTTCTAAAAAAAATTTTTTTTAGCATCAACCAATACATAAACAAAACATAGAAATTGCATGTTCTTAATAATAATAGTGATGATAATAATACTATCTCTGTAATAAAAGCACAACAAAGTGTAACCCATATTAACTACTCCCTGTCACATGACCCACGTCAGCTGTTGTGAGGTCCCTCTCCTGATTGGCTCCTTCCACGTCGCGGCAAAGCTGGCTGTGGGGGAATACTTCCGGGCTCGACTCCTGCTGTGGCTGTAAGCTTGTTGCTTTAGAACGGCGTTGGAAAACAAAGCGTTTTTCTCCCCTCAATTCATTTATACTCTCATTTTACCTCAGCGGTGAGTGTTCTTAACATCTACCAATAACACCCTTTTACTTGTCAGTGACCAGTCGATGGTTTTCGCTATAAAAAATGACCTTGTTCGGCAGAGTTCCCACCGCGAGCAGAACTCCGCTGTTTTTGAACCACTTTTATCTACTTAAGCACTTTAATGGGCTTAACTTGAAACCAAGAGCAATCGAATGTTTATTGTTATGTGTTGCCTTGAATTCGGCTATGCTGTCTGTCAGACAGTTGTTTTCCTTTATTGTTGTTTTTATATTTGTTTGTAGCAAACGCTACTGGAATGTATAGATTGAGCTACGTAGCCAAGATGATTAATAATTGACCTGTTGTACATTCGTGATATGTTTACCGGTAAACTGAATCGAACTTGATGTGCTAATGAACGTTTCTCTGGCCTACAGGTCAGGTTTTTTTCCCCATGTTGAACTGATCTTCTTCATATTGAAGTGGCGAGCTGGTAGGGGGGGCGTCGGGGAGGGGGGGGGGGGGGCGTCACAGGGGGATCTCGCACAGGGCGCCATTTAGGCCAGCTCCGCCTCTGGCTGCGATGCAACCATGAGGCAAAGTCCACAATCTCATCCTCTTGCAACTTATATAAGCTATAAGCTATAAGCAACTATAGAGACATGTCACCTGTCAACCTGGTCTCACATGTCTCAGTAGGGAGAGCCATTTTAACATTTAATCAGCAATTGGACCTCTGTAATTCCTATTTTTATAGCAAGTTGCAAATTCAAAACAAGAATGTTGCACTAAGTGTTTACAATAAAGAAAAGGCAAAGCTATTTGTCTTTTCGTTTCTTTTGCTTTCTGCCGACCTGAAAATTTTTCTTATCCAATCCGTGAG